TTGGGGCAGTTAATGGAGTTAGAAATTCTTGATCTTTCTAGTAATTCCCTAACGGGTTCAATACCTTCAAGTTTTGCCTCCCTCAGAAACATCACCAGGCTTCAGCTGGGTTCAAATTTCTTATCTGGGTCAATTCCTCCCAGTTTAGGCTCTTTTTCCAGTCTTCAAGTCTTGAATCTTTCAGATAATAGTCTTGTAGCTTCAATTCCAAGTCAGTTGGGTAATCTGTCAAGATTGTTTGAGCTTGATCTTAGCAAGAATTCTTTATCTGGGTCGTTGCCTCAAGAATTTAAGGGGTTGAGGAGTTTGCAGAAGATGTTGATTGGGGATAATGAGCTAGAGGGAATATTTCCAGGTGGTTTGTTCTCTAGTCTTGTTGAGTTGCAAGTTGTGGATTTGCGTGGGAATAAGCTTGATGGGGCTCTTCCTGGTATATTGTGGTCAATGCCTAAGTTGCAGTTTCTTGATGTATCTGGCAACAACCTTACTGGTGAACTGACCAGTCTTGCTTCTCGTAGCAATGTCACTGCTGCAGCCTTCAACCTCTCCAACAATCTCCTATATGGATCATTGAATTTTCAATTTAAGATTTTTAAGTTTATTGATTTGTCTGGTAATTATTTTCAAGGTGTGGTATCTGATGACAATGGAAGAAATGCCACCCTTGACAGGAATTGTCTTCGGGGTATACCAAGCCAGAGGCCATTGGACAATTGTAGACTGTTTTATGCTCAAAGAGGCTTGTCTTTTGATAATTTTGGAGCCCCAGAGGCATCGCAGCCACCATTGGTAGAACAGAATCCAGAGAGCAAGAAAAGGTGGATATTCATCTTGGCAGGAGTACTTGGTGGGCTTGGCTTCGTTGCAATTCTGATTGTGCTTCTGGTATTGCTCCTGAGAAGATGCAACAGGCGTGTTACAAATCAAATTGGGAATCCAAATGTAGGTTCTTTTCCAGAAGGTGATAGTCCTCAGCTTGCGAAGGAGCCCAGCATTTCATCTGGCCCTGGACAACCATTTACCTATCAGCAGTTGCTTCAAGCTACTGGTGGTTTTAGCGAGATGTACCTTATCAAACATGGCCACTCTGGAGACATTTTCCGGGGCACTTTGGAAGATGGGAGCACCATTGTTATCAAAAAGGTCAGCTTGCCTTCTGTAAAGAAAGAATCATACACAGTGCAATTGGAGTTGTTCGGGAAGCTGTTGCATGCGAGGTTGGTTCCAATCTTGGGATACTGCTTGGAGCACAAGAATGATAAGTTCTTTGTCTATAAATATATGCCAAATGGAGATTTGGCTACTTCCTTTTACAGGGCTACCAATTCTGAGAATGACAACATGCAGTCCTTGGACTGGATTACAAGGTCAAAAATAGCTATGGGGGCTGCTGAAGGCCTATCTTACTTGCATCATGAGTGCAACCCTCCACTTGTTCACAGGTATTATACAACTTGCTTTGGGTACTTTATCTGTACTAAATTTGTTAAACATAGTCAGTAAAATAAATAACATGCAAATAGCAGAACTTCTATAAAATAGAACAGAAATAAGACTTGTTACATTTTCCAACCCAAATCTCAATATATTGTAGATATTCTGGAACAAAGGACTTGATCCTAAGCATCCTTTCTATTTGGATACTGTTCTAACATTTTCATTTGTAATAACTTACGTAATAGTTATTTTATTCATTTTGCTTTTTATCCCTTCTTATGCCAAGATCATGATATCTAGATATTGTGCTGTGCTTTGCTATGGGTAATGGATTGTTGGGTTCTGGCACAAACAGCAGTTGCAATCTCACTTCTTAGGCAGTTTGTGCAATGCAGTTGTATTTTCTTATTCAAATTAATAAGATTATATTTAGAAATTCAAGCTAATAACTAGTGATGTCTAAATTCTAGCACAAAATAACATGATCCATGTACAAGTAACAATTGTTCTTTCCTTCAGAATTTTAACCACTAATTTAGCCTTGCTTTATTAGAACTTTACTTTCTTGCACGTGGTGTTTCTAACTTTCCAATATCTTTTTAAAAACTTTCACTCGATAGCATAGATCTTACTTGTAATTATGTTTTTGGTGGCTGAAGAGATGTTCAAGCAAGCAGTATCCTTCTCGACAATAAATTTGAAGTGAGACTTGGAAGCCTCAGTGAAGTTTGTGTCCAGGAAGGGGATTCCTATCAAAATGTTCTCACGAGGTTCCTGTGGAAGCCACAGTAAGTACCATGCAAATTAATTATTTTCTAGTCAGTTTCAAGTTATGCATTTTCCAGCAACCATGATATAGTCGTAATTATGCAAGTTATGTCTTGATGCCCATAACAATGCAAAATAACAGATTATAAGTCTTAAGTAAATAATACAGAAGAAAGATTCCTCTAAAAGTTCATTAGGACAATGACATGCACAGTTTCTCCACACGGATTATTTGTTATATGATGTTGGATATCTAGCCTCATGATATCTAAATCAATATTAATATATGGTATCTCCAGCAACTGCACCTTCTACTGATTGGAAGACTGCTGATTTTAAGTTCCATTTTCTTAATATGTTTGTTGATTTTTTTTGGAGTTATAATCAATTTTCCTTGTTGTAATATGCAGGACCTCTGAGCCAGGCCCTTCAGGTACATAAAATCACTTTCATTACTTTTATCTAATTGAACTTAGTCTAAATGAATCTGCTGGAAAAGTTCTATTGCATGCTTGGGGTTCTTTTTCTAGGTTGTTTTAGTTTGGAAAGAGAAGAATAATCCTGATATGTTTGGAAATGGACAGGCCAATCATCGGCGAACTGTGCTTATGATGTGTACTGCTTTGGAAAGGTTTTACTCGAGCTTATAACAGGCAAGCTTGGCATCAGTAGAACGGATGATGCCTCTACAAGAGAGTGGTTGGAGCAGACATTGGCTTGCATCAGTATCTATGATAAAGAACTAGTGACCAAGATCGTGGACCCTTCTTTAATTGTGGATGAAGATCTACTGGAAGAGGTATGGGCAATGGCAATTGTGGCCAGGTCATGTCTCAACCCCAAGCCTTCAAAACGACCCCCAATGAAATATGTTCTTAAGGCCTTGGAAAATCCATTGAAAGTTGTCCGGGACGAGAGTTTCAGCTCTGCTAGGTTGAGAACAACGTCATCTAGGAGATCTTGGAGTGCTGCTTTATTTGGTAGTTGGCGGCAGAGCTCATCAGAGAGTGCCACTGTTCCAGGCCACCCAAATAGAGAGGGTTTAGGTGGGTTGAAGCAGTCCGGGAGAATAGGCTCTCAAGGTAGTGGAGGAAACGAACACTCATCTTCACATAAAAGGTTATCAAATGAAATTTTCCCGGAGCCATTGGATGAGCAAGAAATGGGGAGGCTAGCTGAGCATTAACTGAAAGGATGTCTTGTAAATTTGTGGTGTCAGCTTCACGTTCCACTGGCATCAACCATTGTCATTTATTCTCATCAGGGCCACAAGCACATCTAATCAGGGAGAAAGACGAAAGCCGTGTAGAAGAGGGGAGGGACTTGCACGGCCGATTCTTTTACTCATAACTAGCTGCAAGATTTTAACAGTATTACACCTATGCCTCTAATGGTAATGTGCCAAATATTGCCACTCAAAGTTATTTAAGAAGGAAGCAATTCCTACAAACAGATTTTTAATGGATTAACCCGATTTCATCGATGGAATAAAGATACAAGATTAGTCGGTGTGATTTCATTGATATTCTAGGGTTAAGATCCTCATGTTAACTCCATAGAACCAATGACAACTGATATAATTAACGTGGCTCTAACTTTACTAGGCAAGTGCCGGAATTGACCTTGTTGCTTCCATTTAGCCTATCTTCTTATCTTGCCCCAGCATCTACATGCCTTTGATTGAGCCAATTATCATAAATCCTACCATTAGCTCGGAAAGATTCTTGATAAGTGGATCGCAAAATAATTTCTACCATTAACATAGATATAGCTACGCACTTAATGACCAAACAAGGGAGGGGAAGAGAGGAAAATGGGAGGAAAATCACCCCTCCATTTCCCTCGAACCAAACAAGGGGTAATAGGTCAACAAATGACACAATATAAACATATCATATGAAAATCACCCCCATTTGCTAAGGAGTTATGTGAGATATCAATCAACTCTCAATCACCAATATGATGCATATCTGCTTGCTAAATCTTTTGGATAACCAGAATTCTTCAAGCAATCCCTTTAGAACAGACAAGATTACAAAGCCGTAAAAATGCCACAGCTAAAGATACCACATTCAAAATTGCAGATTGGTAGCACGAGTTCATGTTTAACAAAGATATGTAACTCCTATTCAATAGAAACAACAAATTAAACTAGTTCATTCTACTTACTAATACAACCAAGCTAACACAAGTAAAAGCTCAACACCTAAAAGAAGCTTCAAGAAGTCTAATCTCTCCATGAAGTTCTTGAGCATGTTATTCTTCTTCCCTTTGAAGCAGCTCCAATTTGCTTTCCAAACCGAGCGTGTTCTTCTTCGTCTCTTTCTTTAAAACCCGATAAGGACCAAAAAGTTCCCTCAATGGCACTCACCCAATCGGTTGGGGTATTTCCTTCGTTCTTAAAGATTTCACAAAGCACGACAACCAATTCAGCGGCACTGTAACAATGCTGGGAACAAATGTTGTACCTGGAGCTATTTTTTGGGCTCAGACTCTAAATTCTGTTAAAACAATTTCCCAATGTAACTGGAAAACTTACCCACCTAACTAGATTCAGCTCCTGGAAAGCTAATTATCAATAATGCCAGTCCTTGAGTCAAGCAACTTTCATGGACTCTAAATAATCAACCCAACAAGAAAACCAATAAAAATTGAAATGTTTTCCTAACAGTTGGTAATCATCAGTTCATTGCAGTAGAAACATGACATGCAATTGAAACTTGACACAAGATTTTTATTCCTGAAAGGCAAAAGGAGATGACAACACCTAAAGAAAAGGCAAATGAAACAGTATTGGGGGAACACATTGTTTAACTCAGTTTCTATCTTCAAGATGCCTACATTCTTGCTCTAATAATCTAAATGTATCATCCCATAACAAGCAACAAAATTGAGCTTCACTAAGTTAAGAATGCTGGAGTGTCTCCAGCTGAGGTGAGGAAGTGCTCGCGTAGACAGGATGGAGGATATGCCCATCCACAGGTTCAACATGAATCCACTTGCGACCAGTCAGCTTGTTTTTCTCAAACTTCACCTTTCCTTCCTTTAGGGCATAGAGTGTGTGATCCTTCCCCATCCCAACATAGTTTCCAGGATGGAATCGAGTTCCTCGCTGACGAACTATAATATTTCCAGGGTACACCCTCTGCACAACAACAGAAAAGACTAAAAAGTTGACACAATTAAGAATAAAACTTAAAAAGAAATGTTTTTTTGGACTCAACCCACCTCACCACCAAATTTCTTCACACCAAGATTCTTGGGTAGGGAGTCTCGTCCATTCTTTGTGGAACCAGCAGTCTTTTTGGTAGCCCATCGCCTAACCATCAAGTTTAGACCATTCGAGGACCCATCTATGCATGTTAAAAATAAAGTTCATGAAATTCACCAATTCTAGCAGTATTCAATTCAATTCATTCAAACGGAATTAGGGGATACCAGAAATGCTGGCATACACAGGAACATTGGTAACTAGTTCCTTCACATTCACACGCTTGCAGATTGTTGCAGCAAGATTAAACATACTGGTATCTGTAAGAAATCAAAATAAAAGATTTAAAAGGTAAACATTAATCAAAATTATGCTAACATTTGAAATTTAACAACTCCATTAAGTCTGATCTCAGTACACAAGTAAATGGAACAAAACTGTTGTGAATTGATTTCCTCTCCCGCCCCCCCGCCCCCCCAAAAAAAAGGAAATAAGAATTCGAAGTTAAAGTTACTGAAAGCAAAAAGAACTATAGAAGATAAAACCCTAACTATCATTAGTTTTATTGTTGTTGACGATACGTACCGATTGATAATCGATATATTGGCGGCGTGGGGAACTTCACAACGTATCCCTTTGTAGTTCGCCGGCGACTATGCTCCGATTAGAAAACCAGATCCTGTGTTTCTGGGAAGAGATACAGTGCGGAGGAAGAGCAGGAGCTTAGGGGTAATGGAATCGACCAGAGGAAAGAGGAGAGAGTGAGGGGCTCACAGGAGGGTTTCTGATGGGTGGGCCGTGGTAGTTTTTTGGGCCAATAGTGGGCCGTTGTCGAAACTTTTGTAGCCTGTTTAGTTAAAGGTCATCTTTATTGAAAATGTATCTTTAGAGCCTGTCGAAACTTTTAATGCCACATCGTCTTTCTCTATAAATGTTCCATATATTTTTGAGGTTGGTAATGATCTATATTTCTCACTGGTTAGAGTTTGAGCATGAGACCGTGTTTGTTACATAAAATCACCCTTCATAGGGGGACTTCAAATCCTTCAAAATAATACTTCCTCATATTGTATAACAAAATGAAGTCTAAAAACACAGACAAAATAATTTAACAGTTAAAATTTTAAAATTATAAATTATAAAAATTTTAAATTCATACCTTAACCTAATTTAAATGAGATTTGAAAATAAGAGAAGACTATCCTTCTTATATATCTCATAATTAAAAGTACCAAAAAATAAAGAAGTCTAAATTTATTATTTCAATTGAATAGGAGATACCATTTCCAACCGAGCTGAATTTTCATTTTCACTTTCACTTTTTTTTTTTCTTTCTTATTTTTACAAATGAGACATTTTCAATTATTGTATTTTTCTTTTTCTTTACAGGTAGCGACAACGACTATTTGTGGGAAGGCAAAAAACGTTGCAGCTTTCTTTTTGTGCCTCCCTAAAAAGGAAATTAACTACGGTCATGCAGATCAGCTACAGTCATGGTCCTCTTGGAGATACACCTCTAACCTTCCAGGCTGAGTACTAGTCTCCCAAAGGAAGAATATCAAATTCATGAGGCATGAAATCTTCACTGTGCCTATAGTATTTGTCAGGGGAGTACAAGCTTAAGTTGGATACTTGGCTGGTGTAAAGACAGGCAAATCTCTCAACCTGCATCACACAGACATGCAAATAAGATTTACTTATGCTCAGCCTGCAACAAAGCAGCAAGAAGATTGAATACATCTGTTATTTTCTTTCCTTCAAAACCAAATTTTACCTACAGATGAAGTTCTGATCTTACCTGATGAGCAAAGCGAGAATTCTGATACCCAGTTTTCATCAGTTGTCCCCAGACCTTGTGAAACTGCAAACACAGAAAAATGGAATAAAAAGATCTTCATCTAGTTCATTAATACTGAGTTTTTACTTGGTGCCGCTTGTAAATTGTTTGGGAGAGATATTACAAGGTACAATTGGATTTCCATACCTTTTGGTGATATTCTCGTTGGGCAAGTTGATGAGCAAGTCGCACTTGATCTCGTTGACACTATAAAATCAAACCATTGAAGATTTTATCATTAGTACCTATAACCATGCACCAACCATCACCGTTGCAGTACTTGGCATTGAGTTCTAAATTCTAATGGCATTACCTCCAATTCATGAAGTGTAGAAGATATAGTCTGCTTCTCAACATCATTGGGACTTTCAAACCTGAAATAAAGGAACCAGATCTTGTTTATAAAGCATGATTTCCTGATTAGAATGTTCAAGCAAAATATATTTTATCAAGAATATGATATTCTAGATATAAACTTACTTCAGATGCCACTTAAAGTGATGAATTCGGTCTTCAATGAGATCACGTTCATTCCTCAGCAGTTGAAGTTGCTGCATGCTAGCGTTCAGGTTAGTAGTTGCAAGGAATGAGAATGCCAGTGATTAACTACATAGGTGACAACTAAAGGCCCATTTAGTTATGTTGCTCTTTTGGGATTTTTATTTTTGTTGCCAAAAATATACCAACAAGTCAATTACAGCAACAATCCCAGCAATAACAACGGCATCATATCTAGGGATAGGGTTGCATCAAACATTACCTAGAAGAAAAAGAGATTTATGGCCATTCACCAACTGTTATCACTTCAAGTCACAATATTAGCTACTTAAAAGAAATACTTGCCTTACGCATATCCCTCAATTCCCAAAGCAGCTTAACCTCCCTTTCAAGCTCTGGAACAACAAGCATTGTTCTCCAACCTACATCCCAAAAGATACAAAACTTTTATTAAACAGTACACATCGTCAATAGGTCAAGTCAATTAAAATTTAGGTGAACGGCAGAACTAGGGGAAGATAAAACACACCAAGAACCTTCTTGCTTCGCAAAATATCTCCATAGATATGATCTCCAGCATAAAGAACCTACAAAGATACAGACTGTTAGAAAATATGCAACTTATGTCTTAATCTTAGAATTTAATACCCAAAATTACCTGCGAACTTGACTCTATAGAAAGCAATTTGTGCAGATGACCAACATTGCCTCCCTAAGAGAGGAGCCAAGGGATAAGTCAGGTGGTAATGCCATGTTCTTAAATGCATGTCCCAGAAAGTAGAGTCTACCATGCATCAAATACACTCAAAGATACCTGGAAAACTCGACAGCTCTTATTTGAATCCTCTATGGCTAGTATTGGTGAAATATTTCCTACCTAACAAAGAGATGTAAGAACTGGCAAAAAGCCATAAAAACAAAAGCAAGCTGGGAAAGTTAAATGCAAAATGATCATCGCAGATTTCTACCAACCTGAGGCATAGGGGTTCCATTATCAGTATTTCGTAGCATCCCAGACTCAGGGTCAACCTCAAAAAGATTGGCAAATTTTTCTTCATTGAAGAAGCCAGGTTTTGCACTGCATTGAAAAGTTTCCTTCAGATGAGAAATTACAGGACAAAGCCCATAACTGTTCGCTGTGTGAAGAAAAAAGTGAATAACAGGTTCTAGCATTTAGAAATACATGTGAATTGGCTTGTTTAACATTCAGATATTATGAAGTTAACTGGTCATAAATTACAACCCTGTCATTAAACTTTGACGTAAAGAGAATGAAAGAAAGATATTTGACCTGCCCGTGATGACAATATCAAAGTACTGAAGCCAATCAAAATTGCAAGAACTACCATCAGATAAGGTCCGGGATCCACAGAGAAAATTCATCACAATATTGGTATAGTCCCATAAACTGCAACAGATGTGTGTAATCAGTATGTGATTGTTTATGAAAAGGGTATCAACAAAGGAGGATAGTATTGCACAATTAGCATGATATAAAAACAAAAGTATCTGAAATGTTTAACTGCTATTTTCTAATAGACAATGCTTTTTACCCAAGTATTTTGACTTGAAGTTGAAGATCAAATAAAAGATGCAACGATGAGCCAATGAATCTCCAATTAAATTTCCAAGCATAAACTCATAAATTTTCATTAATTTTCTTATTTTATTCTTCTTCTTTTTCCCTGAGGGAAGGGTGGGGAAGAAAAGGGGCAAGCCCTCATACCTATTTGTAACCAAGAATGTAGAGCGTCCTGAATCTCTTAGCATTTTCAGCATGGGCATTATTGAAGTATCCTCGTTAATATACCTGAAAAATGAAAATTAGCCATTAGATTACAACATTTACCATTCAATCAAAGACTAACAGCCTCTCCAAATTCCTTTTAACCTTTGAGGATCCTTTGCAACCATCTGTTTTAAGGTTCCATCTCGATGGCACAAATCAACAGCAGCTCGAACATCTTTATACATGCAAGCGTAACTGGACGAAAGATTTATACCTTAGGTTACTCAATATAAAAGACTAAATAGAGGAAAATAAGGTTTCTATACCTAATAAAGAAACAAAGCTGTCATCATTGTCATAAACAGTAAAGTATATGGAACAGTAAATGATAAATAATAGTGTTAAAATAAAAACTTAAACAAAAAATTATTAAATTTCTTACTCAACACTCTCTGGAACTTTTCTAGGATTATTGTCCTTAAAATCAACAAGTTGAGCAAACAAGTATGCCTCAGCTAGTGAAAAGAGAGTATCAATAAGGGCATAATCTGGTTCATCAAAGGCATCTCGTATCAGCGTGTTCCCATAGGTCTCAACTTTATCCTCCTTAGACATCTCTCTGAAACCATGGTATGCGACTTTTACATACTTATGCCGATCCATCTGTATAATGCAGACCATTAAATCATTCTTCCATGGGATTTGTGTGCCTGCATGTGTGTGTGTGTGTGTGGAGAGGGGGGTATACAAAAAAAAAAAAAGTAGTAGATGAAGGATGAACTCAATCAACCTTTAAGGTGTTGCCTTTCTTTTTATCCAAAACTAGGCCTCTAACCATGTATTTGGAATCAAATGTCCACTTCAGTAACTGCATTTAGGTTATCCTATCAGCAATCTTTTATGAATAGTGCTTAAAAATAATATGTATTTGGAATTATGTTAAGATGAATAATTTGTGAAGCTTAAGAAAAAAAACTGAAAAAAGGGTATGTATGCTGGTCCAATATTATAGCTCCAAACCCGAATGACAACATTCAATTCTTTTCCCAAGGAAACAGCATTAACAGAAAGCAAACAAACCTCTTTAGGATAGCCCAAATTATAGACCAACTTCCTGATTGTGCCGTCATATGCAAGCGACTCAAAGGTCTCTGGTTTGTACTGTGCCAAAGTGTAATCCATATCAAAGCCAACAGCAACAATATTCCTCATATTCAAAGATCGGTTGCAGAAAATATGTTTTCCTATATCGATTTTCTGCCCTCCCTCAGGAGATGGCCAAATGTATGGTTTTGCAGTTCCATTATCAGTGGTCATGAACTCAAATTCCAAACCCTTTTTGCTTACAACAGTCTCTGGAATCTGGTCCATCGGATAGCTGGCATGCATCTGGTAAGCCCCTGGTTATTTTAGAAAAGGGAACAATAATGATTAGCCTTAATAGTCATATGGCCTTGTGGTCGAACTACAATAACATTACATCAACATGTCTCCGTCCAATTCTACAGCCATATATTCACAAATTCAATGTCCCATATCTATATAAACCGCTTCCTACACTACATGGTGGAATTATTATCTGCTCTGTGGTTTTTTCTCAGGGTTTTCCACACAATCCTTGTGTGTACCTCTCACTTTTATCTTTCTTTTATTATTATTTTTATTTTGTGCATCAACAAGAGATGAACTGAAACTTAAACTGAAACATCTGCAGTTTCATATCGAGAAAAGAAAAAAATGGAAATGAGGTACTAAAAAGGAAACGAATAAGCTTTCCTAGACCAGAAAAACCTCAATATCTTACCTCTGGTGTAAAAACGATCCAAAAAGCACACGGCGCACTCCGTTATGTGCCGAGCCTAAGTAATTTCCAAGATATACTCCAAGAAGGAAGACCTAGAAATCCAATTTCTCAGTCAAAATTCCATAACCTACCAATCCAATTCCAACCACAACCTAAAACACAATACTATCTATAATCCTCCTGCACCTCCGAATAATAATAATAATAATAATAATAATAAAAAAATCAGCCAAAACACTCCTTTCCGAACACTGAACATGTTAAGCACGGAACCAAATTCCACAACAGAAAAATGTATCGAAATCAAAGAGCAGAGAGTTACCTGTAGTGTGAATTGCTTTGATTCTGGCGGGAATACCGAGAGAGAAGCGAAGAACACGGAAGGAGAAAAGGGCGGGAAACTCGGCGGAGAAGGTGGAAAGGCAGAAGGAAACGGGATTCTTCGGAATTCGCATCGTGGATTTAAATAGACATTTGGGGGAAACAGTGGGTGGAGAAGGTGAAAGGGAATCGGATGCTAAAGGTGTGGAATGGGATTGGAAAAACTGGGAAATGCGATTGCAACTGCAGGAAGGGAGGGGATGGCATCTAAATCTAATAATAATTATGATGGTTATTAGTTATTTATTCATTAATCCGGTTGTTCGGGAAGATGGGGATGAGTTATTCCTGGCGGGAATAAGAATCGGAATATTCATGGCGGGAAGAGGGTAAGGAATTTTAATTGTATGGGAAAATGTATAGATAAGAAGATTTATTTTATATTTTTTTATTTTAAAAAAATTAATATTTTCAAATTTTGAATTTTAATAAATCAAATTTACAATAAGATAGTTGTTTAACAAAAAAAAAAAATCTAATTTTTAAATTAGCAAGTTCTGTAATTCATCCATTTTTTGAGCAGGGCAATTATAGGGGGATGGGAAGGGGATATGCTTAGAGGTTGAAGTTGAACCCAGTTGCCGTCAGTCATGGGCTGTTCTCGCCTAACCTCTGCAGCGTGGTCCATGTTGCAGTGTTAGGTTACAGAAGCATTAAATTGGAGATGAAAAAGAGGATGGTCAGAGCAGTCAACAAACGAAACTGCAACATTAAAGTAATGAACCCTCGTACTACCGTATCCGACGGTGAAGAATGGGAACCTTATCCGGTCCATATTCTCTACCCGAGACCACTCGGGTTAGATCATCCCACCTGCCGCCAGGCCCGCCACCGTGTCTGGGCCCACGCCACCGTCAAAAGGAATATATACCTGGCAATATCAACTTATCAACTTGCTACACGTGCACCTCATTCGTTGCAAGCCTCGAATAATAGTCCCGAAATGACAAATTATTTGCTGCTAAACCTTTTTTTTTTTTCTTGGAACAAGGTTATAATTTTGGGAGGGGAAATCGAATCCGAATATTTGGATTAAAGATGCACCTTACAAGTCAATCCCATGGTTAGTTGGGTTGTGAGAGTCAGGTGCACTGTTAAACCTGATTGAAACAGCTAATTGCAGGTGACAGAAAAAAAAGTTTCGCCGTTTTATGGTTTATACCTTACTTAACTACAGGATAAAACTAATGAGGATTGAATCAAGTGACAAGTGATTTGTTTTAGCTTAAACAAGATCTCGAGTTCAAAACCTTGTGTATGCAGCAGTTTTTGTTGAGAGACCCACTCACCATTCTGGTGCGCGAAGTCTTGAATACCGGGCGGAAACCAAAAAAAAAAAAAAAACTATAAGATAAAAATTATTAGCAAGTAATTTACTAACTTTTTTAGTAAAAATAAGAGTTCTTAATTTAAATTTAAACGTAAATTAAAGTATTTTT